AGGACTCAAGCCTAGGTTTCCAGAAACTCTGTTACACCACTAATCTGGGGGTCTCTCTAGATCATGATCTAGGCTCACCACCGATCCCCGCCCCAGAGGTCGAGAAGGTGCCTGGAATAAGTGTCTTCTGTGCATGGGAATCACCTAAGATTTTGTGAGAGTGCAGGTCATGAATCCTTAGGCCTGAGTGGGCCCTGAGATTCTGCATTTCTAATCAGCTCCCAGGTGACTTGATGCTGCTCATCCATATTTTGAGTAGCAACGATCTAAATAGAGCATGATGCCAAAGTCATCAGGCCATAGGGCAGTTTTCAGAGGCATGTTACTCCTCTGCCCCTTTTATACTCCCCACAAAAGCACATGCCCCCCCCCACAGCCCAGGTTAATTTACAGGTGCTGTGCAGCCTCATGTCCCCACACCCAGCTGCTCTGGATGTTCCCAGAAAACAGCAAGGTTGTACTCTGCCTGAAAGGTCCTATCTCACCCCATTTCTCCACCTGGTGGGGTCTCTCACACAACCTTTAAGACCAAACTCAAATATGACCTCCTCTGTGAAGCCTCCCCTGCTGCTCTGACCACACAGTGGTTTCCTGGTTGCCCATCTATCGGTTCCTGGAGAGACAAAGGGAAGAGTCCATGCATTTAACCTCATTTCCCCTGGAGTCTAGCATAGCGCCTGAGCTTAGGGTGGGACAAAAGAGCGTTCAGGAAGGAGGGCCTATCCTGCACCGGGGGACACTGGCTTGTTCTCCCTTACAGTATTCCTGATGGGTACTGTGACCAGACTGCAGAGTTCTTTGGGACCCAAGGCAGCGGGACCTGACCTGTTTATTGCATAGGGCAGGTCCCAGGCACTGTGTATTATCTTTCTGCTGGGCCTAGAAAAGCCCTGGTGCCAGGCTCCATGGATCAGCGTCCACTGCTCTAGCCTCCCAACTGTTGGTGTTAAAGGCATTCAGCTCATCTGAGTAACTAAAAATAATGCCAATGATAATGATAATAACAGCACTAATTACCACTGTTACCATAAAGGCAGTGTTATTGGGGTGGTGGGGGAGGGGTAAGGAAGGAATCGATCTTCCCGTTCTTTTGTCTCAGGTGGATCGTTCCATGTGTTAGTGGCACTGGCACCTACTGCAATGTGTGCCCAGCCCAAGGTAAGCCTCATTTACTGATATTTGTGAACGTATGAGCTCACACAAGTGATGGTAAGCAAGGACCCAACTTCAGTACTGAGTGCAAACTCAGGCATCTTTTGTTAGTGTGTGGGCTCCCTGTGGATGAACGATGACTAAAATCCCTGCTGGAGCCTCATTCAGGCTGCTCTCAGATGACCACATCTTCTCCAACCAGGTACACAACTGGAGTTCATCAAGGCAGGTTGGCATTTCCCTGAGCCTCACCCTCACCCTCTGCAACATTCAGGACCCAGTCCTGGATGTGTGGGGCAGGTGTAGAACAAGATGAAACAAGCTGCCTACTCTCAGCAAACTCCCCATCTTGACGGAGAGTGCCAGAACCTACACAGTCACACCCAACACCTATTGCTAAAAGGCAAAGTCTACCATGAATCAAAGTGTGGTCCAAGGACCGGCTGCATGAAATTTGCTGGGAATGTTTTAAAAAAATTCATAATCCTTTTCCTGTAACTTGACTTACTGATTTAGCATCTCTGAGCATGGAGCCCAGAACTGTGTTTTGACAAGCTTTCCCTGTGATTTTCATGCAAACTAAAGTTTGTCTACTATCGAGTCCTAGATGGTACAATCCGATGTCCAGTACTCTGGTGGGCTTGTTGGGGACAGGGCAAGGAGAGTCCTGAGGCAGCTGCCTGTTGGCTCATCTCCCTAGTTAAGTTGGTAAGGGGTCCTTCTGGGAGATACTGCCCAGGTTTTGTATTCCTCACTAGACATTTCCAGGAAGTTAAGGTCAACCCACAGCAAGCTGCTGAG